AATCCTATTGCGCACGACATTATATTAGCTAAAGTAAAATATCATCCAGTCATGTTAACACAGATGTATCGTGCGAGCTCGCAGTTTCTCAGGTCAATATATTTGGTCTCAACCATCAGAATTCATGAACAAGATTTACCAGGGAGCAACGACACCTCGATGTTTGATTCTTGCGTTCATGGGCAATCTCATAGACTACTGGCGTCCTGTTTCTGACATCAATACAAGCATTTGTCTCTAGCCTAATCGATTGGCAGAGCAATGATGAGAGCAATGGTCACTACGAAGTCACTTTGAAGATAATTTTTGAAACAATTATATACGTTTGAGACTGATTTAATGTAGACATAAAATAGGATAGTCTTATCTATTTGTTAAAGTACCGAATCAGCTTCCGTAAACTGAATAAGATTTGATAACATTTCTTTACTATATCTATGTTAATAAACGAAAAACTAATCAAATAAATACCGAATTTGCACAATCTAGTGACTTTTTAATTTACATAAACTCTAAAAAGTAGTCTTTATGTTTTTCACTTTTAAATTCCATTGCTAATTGGATTTTGAAAACTTAAAATTTGAAATGCTGGATGAAAATAATGCAAAAGCACTAGGACATTATTTACAGAATGTAAGTTCAAGCTACCTCATAAAATCCGTAGAATAAAATTTAGTAGAAAAGAACAACTTTAAAATTCAGTTCAGTAGCAAAATAGCATAAAAGTTCTGTTCTCTAAGCATGGAAAATGTAAAAGTTGTTACACTACGCATAACAAGTGTTTGAGCTGTGTGATATTCTCCTAAAGAATAAGTACGTTACTTTTTAACTGTTTTATCTAACATCTAATTATCTATCTACCTATAACTTTTATTTCATTGACATGATATATTTTGATCCTGGGTCTTGATAGCACCCTAAAAAATATTATTTTCGCGCTAGTAAACAAATGTGAATAAAATAATTATAATCTATAAGTTTCACGACCTGGAGAAAGTAGGATAATATCTATAATTATATTATGTTTTCAAGCATTTTTACAAAGCTTAGTAGGTGGGTTAGCCTTTAGATTAGGATTTTGCTTTTTGTTGCATAAAACGAACATTGGAGATCAACATTCGATTCAGACCGCGTTTATTCTGTCAAGTAAAAAATTTTCTCAGCTCTTAAAATTTAAGTAATGTTCTGAAACAAGATACGAGAATTTTCCATTAGGTAAAATTACATTAATCTAGACTTTTAATCAAACGAAGGTGATATGGTAGATCTACTAGAAAACAGTAGTGCTCTGCGACAATTCTTGCCAACGACATTTCTTAAAAATAATGTGAATTAGGGAATAAAAAGCGAAGTTTAGCCAACTAGAATTGAATGGCAAGATCGGTGAACGTGTGTTGTTATTGTTATTAAATTTAACAGAGGATTGTCGGTTCCCTGCTAAGTTTATAACTTTATAAAGACATGCATACTTGCTCTCTCTTACACAATACAAAAGTACCTTCATACGGTGTCCTTAAAACATGGCGTTACTAGATGAAACATAACTCTAAAGCAATTGAATACTCCGTTAATTTCCCTAGCTTTTATTACATAATATTTGAAACTGTTTGATAGGTTAATTTACTATCAAAATATGAACTTGATTTTTCACGTTTAAAAGACACTTTTTCAAATGTGATTCTAGTGTGATTGACGATTTACAAATAAATCTTAGCTTTATTTTTGTTATAGAAAAAATGATGTTTGAATAAGTTGTTGTTATATTTTATTATTAAGCACAAAGCTACCCAAAGGGATATATGTGCTCTTTCAACCTAGGGTGTTGAAACCCTTTTTCCAAGGGTATAAATCCACAGACAATGCCACTGTGTCACTGGGTGACTTTTAAATAAATGTATATTAAAATTGATTTTATATTTTACAATAAAGGCGTTTAGTTAGAACTCAAGCAAGTAATGAATACTTGTGAAAAGTGGGGGGGGGGGTAGAAGTGAATGTAAAAGTTGAGATTTCTGACACTTATTTGGGTCGGGTTGGCCCATTTTTTATTGAACTAGAGTGTTAATACCAGGGTTCTTTTTCAGCGTTCCGTTGTGCAAAAATTGCATTCCATACGTTGCAACCGTGAGTGCGCTATAAAATTGATGGTAAAATCCCACTATTAGGTCACCAACTCAACCGGCAGTGGATACGGCTGACTAACTGTCTTCCTTCAAGTTTATCAGTTCAGAATTAGGGAGGTCTAATGCAGATAGCCCTTCTGTAACTAAAACAATGAAATTGCTTTTTATTCTAAATCTGAGATAAATATTTTGACATTTTATTGTATTTGAGCAGAAAATGACAGTGATTTTGCAGCTTGAATTATATATGTGCGAACGATTACGAAATATGTTGGTCTAGCACAAGGCCACAGTTTGAACACCTTACTTCACAATTTCTTCACCTGTACGGAATTTAGCTATTAAAGTATTTATAAAAAAATGTTTTTGTGTGTGTGTATTTTTTCTGACTGTTTCTCGGACGTAACATGCATAATTTTCTCATAACAACTTTTGTGTTTTCTAAATCGTATTTATGTTGAATTCAAAATTAAATCTGGAACTGTCTGCAAAAAACTAATAATTTAAAATCTGACATTTTGTCAGAACATTTCTATTGCTATCTTAATGAAATAATTATCCATCCACCGAAAAGGAAAAAATAAACTTACTCAGATTTATAACATTATATTGTTTTTTAATTTAACTTTGAAAGTCAGTACTAGAACAATCTAATGAAACGATTATCATGTATATTATGCAACCAACAGTAAGTACGTGAACTTCATGCATTATTAGCAATGGCTGATTGAAAAATAAATAGTTCGTATGAAATCCCCCTGAAAATGCTAAAGGAAAAATTTGTGGTTATACTATTCACAAGTCACTTACATAAATATAAAAAAAATGATATTGTTTATTATAAAGCCTAGTTACAAATTATATTTTCATTATTTTCTTTAAAGAAGTTTAATCTTCAAAAGTAAAAATGTATGGCAAATGATAAGTAAAATGTTGAATTAATTAGAACATTATTTATTTTTACTACACCTGGAGTCCCCGAGTGCTGGAAAATTTTCTGAATAAACAGGACAATTTACTACATTTTTGGCTTATACTTATAATGTTTAATTTCTTATGGAATTTTCTGCTATTCTCCACATTAGGGGTTATTTATAGGTATTCTTCCTTAGATCGGATATGGCCAATTAATGGCAAATGTTATAAAATATCATCATTTTATTGTTCTGCCATAAGATATAGGTACCAGCATATTTTACCATATCTTAGGGTTTATACTATATACTTTAGTATAACTAATCTTATAGATACTATAGAATAAGATTTAACAAGATATTCTGTTTTTTTTTTATATTTTCTTTGCTTAGCCACAGCATGTATCTGCAGAGAACACAATTTCAGTACTTTATAGTGCCGTGGCAGGATTTATTGTTAAATTGTACATCCTTTACATATAGTTCATTTCACACATTCACATTCCTCTCACTTCATTTTTAATCGTATGATAACCCAAAAGAACATTACATTATCATATATGTTTTAAATGAAGTCACGAACAGTATGCTATACAACATAACTATTTGAGTACTGACCTACATTATATGAAATATTGTTAAGCAGTGAACTCGTATTATCTCTAAATGTATAAATATCGACAAAATAATGAAATATTAACAAATTTTTCATGCAAACCGTGGCATATGGTTAGAACCTCGAACAGCAGCTTGTAACCTATATTTCTATAATTTATCAATTGAATTAACTTTACTTTTTTCTTACTTGTTTCTTTTTAAGTTTTATTTTATAACTCAAATTCACAGTAATTATAAACTGGTTTCCTTTGCAACTGAACTTCTGAATAATTACAGTTTACTAGAGATATTAATGGTTCAATAATAAATGTAGAAAATTAATGTAATATTCGTCTATATATGTATAAGTGAACAACCTCCAGATATATGTATAAGATAATTTGTTGATTAACGTCCTGTGTAAATTCAGGGAATGAATGGTTTAATAAAAAATTTTATACATCTTGTTTTCCTATAATTATTCACGTAGCCCAGCTAGCTATTAAAGGAGAAGTCTGAATAGTATCTATTGAATATTATTTTGCATATGATGAGTATTATTAACACCACTACGTGCTTTTTTATCTAAAGAAAAGAAAACGTACGGCAATAATAAGATCAAAAACAAGCACTCAAATTGTATTATTTAAGAGAAAAATACTGATAAAATATTCAATTAAAAATTTTCAAATAATTAAAAAACAGGGTCCGGAAAAATATAGCATAGAAGCAGAAACTATTTACGTGTTACAACAACACATATTCCCCAAAAATGCTGCATTGCTTGTTATTTATCTATTAATTTTTTTCAAACTAAACAATCTAAGCACTTTATTGCCCATTTACTAATCTTTTGATTTTTGTTTTTTTGAACATATTTTTATTGAGCATGATTCCAGGGTCGTATTGACCGGGCTTATATACATGAAACTGGCTCACATATGGTCCAGGATTAGGCGCAAGAGCGTAAAGTTAGTAATAAAACTTGCACAAAATATGAAATATTATTGCTTTAGACCAGTGACCACGCTAGTCAAACGTGTGATCCTTTTCACAAGAATTAAATATGAAATCATGTTTCTCATAATTTCATTAATATATTTTTCATATTAAAGTTTAAAGTTTTGAGTTTTACACTTTAAGCTAATTTACTTTTTTTACCTCTAAGTCACAAATGAAAAAAACAAACAATTTTTTTTCAACATTGACAAACCGTATGATTAAGCCTAAATGAAAGGCATTAATTTTACATCAAGAAACTGTGATTGATGACTAAATAGCTTTGGAATTGTTTATTCTTAGCGAACTCGACCATTGGTAGAAGATATTTATTACATGATAAATAAATTAATAATTCTAACCATACCTTCGCTATCATCTGATCCTTTGACAAAAACTAAGAATAAAGACAAGACAAAGAAAAGCCGGACAAATTTGCTGCAGTCGGCGGTGTACAGCATCCCTCTGCTTGTCGGATGCAACTGTGTTTCCGCGGGATTACATCTTATAGACAGACTATTGTTCCTCAAAAACAGTAAACTATGTTTCAAAAACCTAAAATATTAGCTTTTTTCTCTGTTCGTTCTCTTTTTACTAGTAAAAATGATTTTAAAAAATGAACAGATAAAAACTTTTTTTTCTAAATATCAACGTGACTCTTAATTGTTACGCTTGGAACCGAAGGAGCAAACATCAGCACTTAGTATGGCCTAGAAGATATCGGATGGACAAGCTGAATTCACCACACGAATCTCCCGCTCGGATTCCGATCGACCGATGTCTGGTTGAGCCCACTTATTATCAGAGGGTAGAAAGGTAAACACCACTGCCAAGACCACAATGCACAACACCATATTTTCAAGCGTTCTTAACGTGTCTAAGCTATTACTGTTGAAAGCGTCCTACATATAATCTCTTTGGTTTATTTGATATAGTTCGGTCGGGCAAAAACGTTTTAGCTTGATATACCCTTGTTTTTGTTTCATTGTCGTTCAGATACACTGAGGTGATCTTTATTTTAAGATTCTGATTTTTAAAACAGTCTTCCATTGAATTGAAGACTGTTTTATGTCGATATTCCTAGAATAGAATATCCTTTCGTCAAGTTATTTATTATTAAACAAGACGATATAACAGCTCTTAACAACTATACAGTTGCTCAAAAACGTTTTATTTCCAGAGTTTATAACTTCCATAAACTAAACATTTTGTTCAAGATGAGGATCATCATGTCATCAGGTAAAAAAAGGTTTCTTTAATTACTAATTATATTTATGTTTACATTCAACTCTTTAGTCGTTTAAAAGAAATGTCATAAACAATACATCTACGAATTAACACTGAAAAATAATTAGACATACCCATTCTTTGATGCAGCACTACCAGCAAAAATATATCCAAATGAAACAAACTTTTTTTCATGAATAATGATAGATATCGACACATCATCATCTACAAAGCTGGGCATTGGGTCTGGAAAAAAAAATATTCATTTCTTCGTTGAAACCCGAACTCATTTTACTGTCGCAAGAGACAGTTATATTTGGTGCAAATGTTCATAAATTTTCAAATAAAAGAAAATAATTACTTTAATATGTCAAAATTTCAAAGTAATGATTAGCAAAAATTAATTGTAAATTTTATCAAATGATTCTCTCATAGCGGTAACAGTGGCTTAACATGACCGCACACTGAATTATAACAATAAAGCAATATATCTTCTGTTGTAAATTATATAAACATATCTACTAAAAAAAAAAAAGAATGAACAAACACAAAACCTGCTTTAACTCAAATAGTAAGTGATATCTCATACATACAGCAAAATCAAGTAAATTGGAATTATTCACACATTGAAGTGTATCATTTTAATCATATGTTGTAAAAGTGAAATTATATTCAACTTAGCTTCTAATCACTGCTAAGTTTTAGATGAATTAGGGGTAATAAGCATGCATGTTTTATCCATAATGAGAAATCTAAGACTATAACAGGTGTGTTTCTTCCTTTCCTTTTTAATTTTAACCACAAAAATACGTTTCGTTTGATAAGTGACTCTGTTTTCCATGCACAATATGTAGATATGATTGAAAGGAATGATTCAAATATGGCTTTATAGCACTGGCTATACCGCATTTCTCAGTTATAGTTGGACGAATTTCCTTTGGGTTATATGAGGATATGCCGTTCTTCAGAGATATAACTGACTCCATGATCTCTAAACGTCTTAATGATATACAACCATGAAAATAAAGGTTGCACATTATTTCTTTATCAAACAATAGCAGACAGTTAATCCGACAGTTAATTCATTCTACTCTTCTATTTAGTGTAGAGCAAAATTTCTATACACAATTAGATGATCACCAGTTGCGATAATAGAGTCTGGACTTGAAAAAAATTCTAAGTCTTTCATTTGTATGAAACAATACGCTGCGATTTTATAAACCTAACTGATGTGTATAAGGAAATCTCAATAATTTTGCATGATTATCTAGTGGCATGTCATTATATTTACTTATTGGAGCAAATAACCTTTGTATGTGATGAAATAGTACAAATTATAGTTTGTATGAGGCTGTAAAACAAGGCTTAGAAGTACTTGCCACTGCTAAATTTTTAGAAATCATTGAAGTTTATTTTTTTAGTCTTTGATTGGTTGACACAAGGATATATAACTTTCTAATTACATAAGTTTATCACAATATTTCAACCATACTTTGTCTAGAACTGATGCGAGAATCTTTTTGCCATAAATCTAACAGGGGGCCCATAAATGATCAAAGCCTACGAGACTTTGAAACTCATATTTATCACATTTCTTTAGTGATTTGGCTAAATAATTCTACGTTAAGATTTATTATAGTAAATGCTTATATAACTGACAGTATTAACACGTTAAATACATCATATACATTTATAGGACAGATAAATAAGATAAATTAGGAAGAAAGTGAAGATAAGTGAAAGCTGTGATCGAAATTATGTTTTTGCTATTTTTAATTTTGGGCTTTATAACCCAATTAATATTCTTTATATCTCTTATACATATTCTAATTAATTTCTATTTATTTTGAAAATACAATAGTTAACTTGGATCAATTTACTCAGTACTTGGATTGAACATTTTTGTATTATATAATTATTAATACTAATCCAAGATAACTATTATTTGCGCTTTTTTTATTGTGTCGATAGATAGTGAGGAATAAGCTTATGTTTTACTTTTCAAAATGGAACAACGTCTTTAATATATCTTTTAGGTATGTGAAATCAATATGTTTGGTTAATTCTGTGTCTGTTTAAGGAAAGTATCAACTAAACATAACCATACAACGAAGTAATAAAAGTAGGACTATTTAGTGTTATGTTTAGTTAGTGTCTATTCACACATTCTTCCGCGTATAAAGTTAGATGAAAAAAGAAGCAGAGTCGTTTACCAAACACCTAGAAAGAAAGCAACAAAATTGATTTAGAATTAATTGTCCTGTTTCTATGTTATATAATCATTTGTTTGTTATTTACATTTTTGGAGGGATTTGATGGAGGTTAGGAGAATACAACTATTCTTGCGATCGCGCTTGTTGTTAGTACAACACCTGTCACGTTTTTTGGCAGGTATTAGGCTGTGAGTTAACAGGAGCCTCATAGATAGAGGTAGTTCAAATCTACGGACAACGGACTTTCTAGGAAAGGTCCCGCGAAATTGTTAGTAAATTACGAGATTTTTTCTTACAAAAAAAAATCATTGAGAATTAGCAGAAAAAAAAGACATATTTCTCAAATACTGCATTTTATTAGTGTTTTGCACGTTTCAAGGCTCTCTTCCTGGAAACTAGCCACACGATGAAAAGGATTCTTTGTTTTCAATGTTGATTTTTTACTGGTGCACCTGCCTTTATAGTTCTAATGAACAGTTTATAAGTCATCTAAGTCCCTCATCTAAAGTAGCGATGCATATGAGAAGGGAAAGGAGTCGAAATATTTTTGCTACAAAACTTAAGGTTTGTTTTGCTATTTAAGAAGCACTTGTTTGATAAAGCGTAAAAATTCTATGTGTTAAACTAATCAAAAATAAATGAATAAAAACAAATTTAAAAGAAAAGGGTACTATATTTAAAACAGATACAGTTACAGTAAGATCTAAATTAGATTTTTTTTCTGTGGGTCATCTATAAAAGGTTCATTCAAGCAACGGAACGAAAACAACTGGGTTTGACTACAATTAATAGCTTTCCGTTAAGTTTAATTAAGAAAGAGAATCAGCTCAAAATCTGTTTTAAGGGAAGTAGATCAATAAAAAATAAATCCCTAACGATGGTTTTTGCCACGCTACACGCACTTGCAGCGGCGTGATCGCTGCATTAGATTACTTATATGTGGAGTAAAAATTCATAAACGTATAAGTCCACTGTTACAGATCCACTTTTTCTATTTGAAAATTGATCCATGTATATACGAGTATATGTGATAAGACAGCAAGAGAGGACCAAATAAACAAATAAAAACGAATGAGGAAGATAAATGAAAACAAGAATGAAAATTCTTTGACTGAGGAGGTGGGTAAAAGATGTAAAGCGAAAAGAGAGAGAGAATGATTTATTCAAGATAAGCAGGTGAGGTAGTTAAGTTACAGTTTTTTATGACAAGAGGGATGTGCGTGTGACTTCCTGAGAGAGAGAGAGTGAACTAAGCCGTACAGGCAGTAATTAGCTTTTATGATTTAAAATGAGAAGATTATTTTTGTAATGATAAACATAATGTATGTAAAAAACGAACTTTTAATAATTTGTAACAAAATTACTGTAATATAATGTCTACTATTTATTATAAGTTAGTTACTATTATTTGTTTCGTATGGACAAATTACATACCTGTATTTTTGTTTTGATATAGTATATTGGAAATATTTGACACATAATATTGGACATAATTATGGAATAAGTTTAGAATTACATAAAAATATATCTTCAATAAAAGGCCGAAACGTTATTATTTAGCAACGTCTGTTTCTTTGAAGTTATGCACAAAGCTACACAATGGGTTATCTGTGCTCTGCCTACCACGGGTATCGAAACCCGGTTTCTAGCGTTGTAAGTCCGCAGACATACCGCTGTGCCACTGTGGGGCAGCAAAGTTACAGTAATCATTAATAAAACAGACTCCTCCCCCCGTTAAAGAACGGGATTTCGATACTTGTGGTAGGTACAGCAGAAATAGCCCGTTGTGTATTTTTGCACTTAACAATAACGAAACCTGAAACAGAGCTAGACTTCATTTAAGTTCTTATAGTAAGCCGATATTGGTGCAAGTATTAGACATAGGAAATACTGCTCAGAATTGCGAAGAATTTTTAAATTTCTCCTCATATATATTTTTAAAACTTTAATATATTTTTGTCTCTGGCAATAGACTTTTGCAACGTTAAGATAAGTGCATGAGTATGGAGGTTGGTCGAACTAAGCCAATCGTAATTTCGCATATCTTTCCTTACAATCTTACTTCGTAGTAGAGTGGATGAAGGGAAAACTTGTGACCTCCCGAATCTGTCGTTAAGTATTGGAAAATATTAATATTCACTTGGGTAATTTTGCTAAACTATATTAAATGTCCTGTACTGATGCTTTAGTACCTATTTAATGGTTTTAATTGCTATTGCGTTAACCCCGGAGTTCCCTTTCAAAACATTAATGTATGAAAAGAGAACATGGAGACCAATAAAGTATATACTAAGAAGTTGAAATTA